ATCGAGATGGAACAGCTCGTTTATTTTATAATAACGATAATGAAGCGATCAATCATGTTTTCAAAAACGAAACTAATTGGGAATTAAGACCATTATCAGACATGATTGATCTCCTAGGTCGATGCATTACAGCTCAAAAGAATGAAACAATCAGGGCAATGTACGACGGTGGCGAACTGGAGTTAGTAACTCCATACACAAGGTAATCTTTTATTATTTCTTATTTGAAGTTCTCCAAGTTAAAATCTACTTACAGGTTTGTTCATGATAGTCGTGTATGGTCCAGGAAGACTGCTGAGGAACGTCAAAGTGTTATTTCGAGTTATTATTCCTATAAACCGCCAGTTTCTCAGACAACAACGGCGTTTAATATTTCATCAAGAGCAGGGCGTAAACCCGGCAAATCTGCTGCACGTGGAACAACTACCACCAGAAAAAAGAAAAGTTAATGTTATTTCTATTTAGCTACACAAACGTTAGTCATCTTCAGATTCGCACACCAGGAGTAACCAAATTGTTCATGTTTTGTTGCTATCCTGATAACTATAACACAATATTTGTGATCTACGATTCTCGATTGATCAAGTCCCTACCAAAAATTGTTTTTTTCGCTGAATAAATCGTTTTCATAATTCACAGATGTAATATACATAATCAGGAGCTTTAAACTTGTATATCTAGATGTACTGTGACATGGATATCAATAAAAAGCTTTTAGCTTTAACTGATGTTCCTTGGATGAAGTATGTAGGCCCTAAATATGTACGTACGTTTCTATAGGTAACTCAGCGTCCTGAATAATGTGGAGATGATCAGCAGATGCAAATACGCGTCCATCTGGGTGTTGGTGGCTGTTGGTGGGTGTTGGTGGAAGTATTTCGTTCAGGGTACCTCAGGTGTAGGTCCAAGTGGGTGTTGGTGGATGTTGGTGTAGGGTTATCTGACGCGCTCTATCGATCTAGAATGGTCTCGGGTAGTTTGGGGGTGTTGGTGGGTGATGGCGTAGTTTACAAATACTCAAAACTTCCCCTAATATTTTTGCTTTTTTCTATCAAAAACATACCAGGAGATTACTCGAAACATTTTCTACAGCTTAGTTTCTCGAAAGTTCGATGTAACGTTTTTGACGCCTTTGGGGGACCACAGCTGCCTGGAATTCTGCTGTTTCCTCGTTGCGAATATCACATTTAGAGTTGAATAAGGTTGCATATTTATGGCGAAATCGATTTTTAGTGAATGTTGGGATCATCTCATCACTCATCGATTTTACCTTGTCTCCGACTAAAAGATATACTTCGAAACTCTAGAAAGATGTTTGATATATATAAAATCATGCGCTCTTTCAGATTATGCTAAAATAAAGTGTTCAACTTTGAATTAAGGTGGTAAATTATCGAGATATGGGTGTAAAATACTAGACCATATGGAGTAGAAACAGATTTAGTTGGAGTTCTTTTGCAGACGAGTTGAAGAAAAATCTTTTTTGCAAGTTATTTATAAGCATAAGGACATGACTAATTCAAAAATATCTCTGCTCAGGTCTTTTCCCTTACCGAGATAGGAGGTATTATCTGTAAAATAACTACTTTTTCTACCGACTACTTATAATCATACCTTTATGAAAACAATAAGCATAAGTAGCTCGAGTACAGTATAGAGGCATGTTACTAGGTGCGAGCTTAGTTTTCGTTGGTAGAAATTGTGAAAAACTTAGAAAAAAAAGTCCAACATGGTTAAAAATCGAAAAAGTTCAAAATTTGCACGCTCTGTCATATTTGTCTGAAGATGGTAGATTGCTGTGAGCTTCTTTTTGATGCCCAGATCCTCGCAGATAGATGTAAACATGTCAGCTACGAACTGAGGACCATTGTCTGAGAATATGTACTTTGGATAGCCGTACCAACAAAACACTTCATTGACCAGCAATGTGGCAATATCGGTTGCTGTTGTTGATCTCATCGGAAAAATCTCAGGTCATGGGGTGAAATAGTCAACGACAACCAGCATAAACTGTTTTCGACATTGGGTTGGTGGATAGGGACCCATGAGATCAACGCCAGATCGTGTGCCACGGTTCAGTAACCACGTGAAGCTGCATACGGCTTGTCCAGCTAATGGTCCCCTTTTTTCGCTCACTTTCAAAACATTATTGCTAGTGCAATAATTGAGGAGTGATAATAAGTGAGTCTTGATGGAGACATCGTCAACGGGATATTTAGAGAGAGCATCGCAGTTATTATTGTCTTTACGTGGTCGTGCTGCTTAATTTAATCAGCGTTCAGAGCGGCTAGTTTCATGGCCCACCGAGCTAATTTATCAGTAGGATCTTTTGCTTCGCGCAACCATTGTAGGGCGTTGCAGTCGGATCAGATAGTGAGGTCCTGACCTTCGTTGTAAGGGCGAAAATGTTTTGTAGCCCATACAGCCCCTCTCGTTCACTCGGACCATATTTTCGTTCGGCAGTCGAAAGACGTTGCGCGTATGAGATGATCACTTTTTTATTCTCATATTCTTGCACCAGAACTGCACCTAGACCATGTCCCGAAACATCCATTTCAATGATAAATGGATGAAGAAAGAATCGGAGCCTGAGTGAGGCGATTTCTTAAAATTTGAATAGCTAATGAACATTCGTCATTCCATGGAAGATGATGATTTTTATTGTTTCTCAGCTGTTGGTGGAGCGGCTCTGCAATCTCTGCAAATCCGTTCAGAGATTCGAACTTTGTACCTAGAGATCAGTAGTTTTCTATCTACGCCATTGTACCACACAAGCTCACACAAATAGATATACATTTTTCATTATCTTCTTGTTATTATAGATAGAAATAACACTAAATTTAAAATAGCTAAGTAACAATAATAAGCGTTTCTCACCATGATGGAAGCATTTATTAGACTTAAGCCTGGAACATGAAATGCTGGAAATTTAATTTCTTAAAATTTTTCCACTGGTGTTGGGTCTCTACAAGTTGGTCTTCAGACTAAAAAATGGTGTTTTGTGCTTTTTATCTTGAAGATCTAGTTGTACAAAGCTGAGCCTGGCAGATAAAATTTAGAAAACTAAATTTGCTACACATTCTGTTACAAACTCAAACTTGAGAAGTACTTTGTTCGTAAACAGATATCTTCAAATTATTTCAAAAATCATATTACATTAGATGATGATGTTAATACAAATTCAGCTGTTCAAGAATGTATAACAAATTTTTATGTGGATGTAGTATTTCAAGATCAAATGAAATTAGTCCTTGGAAAATTTTATGGTTTTTTGATAAATACAAAAGACAATCAGTAGAATGATTTATTAGGAAATAAAAGACTTTTCTTGACTAAACTTAATTTATTTTTGAAAAAGCTAAAGAGAGAAATTAAAAAAGATATTGAATATTTATTATTAAATAAAGATAAATGTGAAAATATTATTTATTTATTATATCAAAATATCAGTTGACGAACGAATATTAACTGTTTACATGATATTGATACACGTATAAAATTATCCACATCTACATCACACAAACTTATTAAACAAAATTCTAGTGAAAAAAAGGAGGATAATTTCAATCAAAATATTTCTCAAATTTTATTATTAACAAGAGAAATGAATTCTGATGATCAAATTCAAATTAAGAAAGGTTATCATATAATTATCGTTAAAATAAATGAATTCAGAATTTATTACAGAAATCAAAATAATTGTCAAATTCAGAAATTAAATATCCTTCAAACATTAAAATTTATTCAATTTTAATAAAGAGATTATTTTATCTAAAGAAGATAACCAACTAATCTATAAAAATATTTATGAAGATATTCAACCAAACAATGGATTTATAAAATATTCAACGGAACAAATTGAAGAGTTTTTTGTTTGAGTTTTTTCTTCGGTATGGATAAATTCATGGATTAATCGTTCAATGGGAATGAATTTTTTATGATTTATTCGAATGAGGATGATAAATAGGAGTACAATCCATTAATTCAAATTGCTTTAAATTTTTATTTTCTTTTAATATTCGAAATAATAACAATAAAAATGTCTCATTCTGTTCTATTCTTGCTAATGGAATGTTCGATTCAATTAATGTATTGGAAATTTCTTCAATAAATATTGAATCTTCGATTTTATCTTTAAAAAATCCGTTTAAATATGCTTGAATCCCATATCTTTTTTAAAGGAAATGGTTTTTTGTTCATCTTGATCGAAAGTTAAATAATTGTGTGATAAAGAAATTCTGATACATGATTTACTCGAAGTGTTTGTTTATCTCGCGTTTTTGATTGACGATAATTATGTGCTACACCGGAAAGAAATAATTTTGAAAATTCATTTACACCTTGGAACGAAGATAACCGTAAATTCATAGAGTTCAATTTGTTCATTACCAATTGAGTTGCAAGGAAAGGTTACTTGCTCTTTACCCAGATATTTTTATCGTTTGGTTTCTGTCAGATGACAATCCAAAGGGTTCGAGTTTGTTTGTTTCTCGGAAACAGATGGAGATGCATGGTACCACTGTTGATTGGAAAACGTTGTATGTTGGAAAAGCAGAACTCAAAGAAAACCGTCGTGCCGCTAATGGCTGCGCTGTCAACTTAGAGAAGTATTAAAAATTCAGAGAACGAAGTGTCTGAGACTGAAATCATTATCGAGTTCACCAACACGCGCACCAGCGCCGCCGTCTCTGTGCCGTTGTTCTGCAGCGATTATCCCGCCCACGAGATTGTCGATTTATGGCGGAATTTGAAGTCGTGCCCACATTACTCTTGGAGTTCGGCTCCTGACGGAATATGTCTTCCGGTTTAATTTTTTTTATGGCATTTTTAACCATTTCTACATGTAAATCAGTATCAGGTAAAACTTCTAATAGTTGAAGCGATTTACGATAAAATTCGAACGCTTTATCCAACTCTTTTTGTTTCGTATAAAGTGTACCCATATTATTATATATCATACTCATTGATAAATAATCATTTAGTGGTATATAAATATTAAGCGCACTTTGATAATTTTCAAATGCCATTTGATAGTTATCCATTTGTTCATAACAAAATGCAACATTATTATGTATTTCTGCTAAATTATGTTGGTCAAATGGTATAATGTTCACTTGACATTTATAAGCTTTTTCGAAATTATCTATTGCTCTGGTGTATAAACATTGTTCATTATAAAGTTGTGCTATATTATTATAAATAGAAAGAAACGACGGATGATTGTCTGGTAATGATATTAATTGTATTTGCAGAGCTTTTTCAAAGTGTTCAGCTGCCAGAAGATAATTGTTTTGTTGTTTATAAATGAGTCCAATATTATTATGATTTGTAGATAAATCAGGATGATTTAGTGGTAAACAGATTAAATTTATATAAAGTGTTTTATAAAAATAACTTAATGCTTCGTTGTAATTTTCTAGTTCACGATAGACTTCAGCAATATTATTATAGAGTGAAGCCAAAGTTGGATGATTTAATTCTTCAATTGATTGTAGCCAAATTGATATTGCTTTCTGATGATATTCTAAAGCTCTTAAGTAATCTTTTTTCATATGATATACACTGCCAATATTAGCATACGTTAATATGAGGGACGAATCATCATCAGACAAATATTTTAATCGAAGTTCAAGAGTCATATGATGGTATTTTAATGCATTTTCATAATCACATTTATTACAATAGATAACACCGATATTATTATAAATTTGTTCAATATCAGGATGCTCTGTCAATGGTAATTCCTTTAATAATAATGTATAATACCGTTCAGCCTTAGTGAATTCACCAAGATCAAGTAGATAATCACCCAATGTGATTAATGTTGTCTCTTCACCAATATCATCTTTATAATATTGAATGAGTTCTTTTAATGCCATATCTTCTTTGTCATTCATTAATAGTTTCACATACCATAAATCAGCCGTTTGTTCAACTGATAAAATTCGATAGACAGAACCGATTGATATTAAAATTTCTTCTTCATCTTCCATATTACTAAATTTTTTAATATCGGCAAATGGTTTATGACTTTTAATATTAGAAATTTCTACTTCAAATAGAACGGCTTCCATATCTGTTCGATTAGGACCCGCAAACACACTTGCTGCTTTTTTGTCAAGTGTTGTTGATATAAATGAATTCATTGATATTAGACCGCCGACATTTTTCTCTATTTTTTCTAATTCTTCTCGTGTCATGCCTTGACCTCGATAAACTACTACTTTATCTGTTGATAACGATTGAATATACGTCGAATGTAATTCCTTTAATTGTTGATACAGATCAGTTATAAAAAATCGAAATTTAAATATAATATCAATGTCTTGTGTACGTAATGCTTTGTTTAAAAGACGAAATAGAAAACAATCACGTGTATACCAAAAAATTGCATTGGTTGACTCATAGTATTCTTCAAATTCATCAACTTTTTCAAGTTCTTTTTCGTTGTTTCGATAATAAACACGACTTTCATCGAGTAGATCTTTCTTGGCATTAACGCTTTGTGGCAGCCGTAGTAATATATCAATCAATAACTGAAACCACATGAACGACGCATTTTCCACTTTTAAATCTCGAACAGAGGCTTCCGTTGCATTTACGTTGAATACACTCATTGGTGTCATGTCGACTTTATGTAATAACGCATCTTGTTCAAGATCGTTCAGCAAAGCACTTAATTTCGTAAATATACCATGAATATTCGAATAACTTCTGGACCACTGTTCATGTTTCTCTTTATTTTCACAAAAGATAAATATTGACAAAATTTGTGGTGAATTCTGTAACAATGGAACGACTATTTCACCCAATGCACCAGATACAATTAGAAATATCTTTTCGTTTTTAATTGATGATAGGTAAAGCAGACATTCGTTGGTATTATCGAATACTTTCAAATAATTAATAATTGATCGTAGTCTGACTTGTGTTTCAAGACATTCATCGGAGGTGTTAATATTAGAATCAAGCCATATAACAATAAAGTCTTCCAGAATGGGAACTGGTACTGTGGGAGAAAATATTGTCCGTTTTAATGCCAATAAACTATTCGTTGCTTCAGTTGCAGTCATGTTGTAACAAAAATTCAAACGAGGTTTAGACTGTTGTAAAAACAACGTGTAAAGTTCTGTGTTTGATTATACTAACGAAAAATGATGACGTTGATTCTTTTACCTTTATGTTGTCATAATAAACTCTATCTTCTTGGATGCAATACGAATAAAGAGCACCGTGAATATTCATACAGATCAAGGTATACTGTAAACGTTGTAGACATGCAAGAACAAAATGAGGCACAAAAATTTTAGCAAACGTCGGAAGCATCTCTTTGTATTATGAGATGTTTCGAGCACAGAGTTTATCAATGGAGGACCTTTTTCTGGAGTATCAATATAACGAATGTAACGTTAAATTTTTTTAAATATCCGCATAGCACTTCTCGGACTCAAACATTCGAGAGCTTCTAATGGAAACAGTGAGACTTTATGTCCAAAAACGTCATAGGAAAGCAAAACTTTCGGGTGATTAATCCTTCTTTTGTAGGAATTTTCGAGAAGCAAAGATTGTTTCATTCTCCTTTTTCTTTCGGTGGAACTTTTTTGAAATTTCGTTTTTCAAAATGATCCTTGAAGATAGTCTTAAAGTCTTTCGTTTTATTTCGAGATTCTGAATACATCCCAGCTAAACTCATCGAATTAAACGAAATTTCTATCGGACAACGTTGACAAGATTCAAGATGCCTCACCATAACTAATAAAGTATGTGAAACAACTAATATTAGGCTCAACTTTTAGCAGAGAGATGTTTGTCACCTGCTATGAATCAGCTCTCTTGATCAGTGAGACGTCAGTTCGAACTGTGAATAATGATTTTTTATAAGAATGTTTCAGTAAGAATGATTTTTTGAACTTGATAATGATTTCAATCTTAGATACTTCATTCTCTAATTTTTAATACTTCTGTAAGTTAACAACGTAGCCATTAGCGGCACGACGGTTTTCTTTGAGTTCTGCCCTTCCAACAGACAACGCTTTCGAACCAACAGTGGTACCATTCATCTCCATCATGGTACCATTCTCAATGTTTCAAGTGGGTATTTTATCTGTAATAACTGCTGTCTCTATTGATCAAGCATGGAAATATTCATACCTGTTTCTTTTATGTTCTTCAAAATGTTAATATTCGTTTACTTCTTTTGTTCTTTATCGGTACAAAACTCTCGAAAACAGAAATGTACTCAAATTTCTTTGATCTTTCAAATCAAATTATTTTCTTCATGTTCTCCTAATTCACACAGTCATGTATGTTGATGTTTACCAATGTCACGGTTTGAATTTTTTCTACAATAACTCAGCATTCATATATACTGGACGCTCATTACTTTCTCAAGATTTTTAGAACGTTCATTATGTTGATAAAATTAAAAGCTGAACACAAGATACGTCCTGTCAGCTCATCCTGTTTATACAGATTGTTCTCTTTTAATAAATGTCTACTTCCAGTGATTATCGAGATAGAATCCTGATGTAGTCACTGACTACAATAAACACTTAATACCATATGGCGTGTTACATCAGGATTCTATCTCGATAATCACTGAACCAAACGTTATGGTTAATATCACCCTAGACGTGCTATATTGTAGACACCTGTGTGTGTTATGCTATCATCGACCTCGTCCATTTTATTATCACAACTATCTCAATATTTAGTGATAAATTAGTCATTTGTGACCTCTGTGGTAGGACTGTAAAGTTCCCGTTGCTTCTTCGGCCGTTATCGACAACGGTAACTAGAAAAACAATTGCCGTTGAAGTAATAATAACTGTTTTTTCAGTTAGCGTTAAACCAAACGGTAACTGAAAAGACAGCTACCGTTACTTTAACGATAACTGCGTTCCAGTTACCGTTGAAAAAACGGTAACTATCAGTTAGTTAACTTTATGGTAACTGTTTCTTTCTCCTTATTATTCTGCATTTCTCATAATCATATTTGGAAAATTAAGTTTATGAAAATAATCAATCAAATAATAACTAACCATTCTGAAAGCCATTTTATTGTGAGCAAAGGACGAATCTATGGAAAACTTAAAACTTCAATAACTCGGAATGGAATAAGCTGTAAAGCTGAAAGTTTTCGTGAATATCACAGACATATAGAAGAGCCATAGAAAACACATTAAGCTCTTAACTACTTTTATTGACAGAGTTATCGATTATTTAATTTTTCCGTGTTTCCATAGGAAAACACAGGCAAACCGCTGTAACTTTTGAACAAAGCACCATGGATCGAAATCTTTTAGGCTTTTTACTAGCCCGATATCCTCTATGGATCGAGATATAAATCACTGAAAACGGAAGTGGGCAGATCGACAGGTTCCCTCATTAGCGTACCTGATTATTTTCATAAACTTAATTTTCCAAATATGATTATGAGAAATGCAGAATAATAAGAAGAAAGCAACAGTTACCATAAAGCTAACTAACTGATAGTTAGCGTTTTTTCAACGGTAACTGGAAACGCAGTTATCGTTAAAGTAACGGTAACGTTGGTTTAACGCTAACTGAAGAGACAGTGAGCGTTAAATCAACATAACAGGAACCTTCATAACCCCGGGATGAAAATTCTGTTGGATACGAAAAATTTTTAGAGAATAGTTTGAAATCACTTAAATATTTCTGTTTTTACTGTCATTTCTGTTTTTTCAAATGGACCAGTGACAGTTCACGTCACAAGATTATTTTCTAATAAATGTGACAATGAACATTGTTTTCAATAACAATTACTCATTTTAATTAAAATAAGTATACAATGACTGAACTTTATATCAGCAGCACTCTCTGTTCGAATAAAATTATCAAGTTTAACAGTTGCTATTGATGACTATGCCAATTTTAGAAGATATTTTATCTCTACTGGCAAGAAAACGTTAGTATAACTACTCTGACTGTACAATGCGAATTCTTCAATTTTTCTGACTTAGGGAAGTTGAATAATTAAATGTTGAAAATTTTGCCCATAGAAGTTCTATAGTTTGAAAAATATGGACGATTTATTTAGACTAACCCATTTTGCTTCCAATCTCCGCATTATTTCTTGTGAAAATAATGCGTATATTATCCAAGTTTCTCTTCGTTTTTGTTCAGACAAACAGTAAGCGTATTAGATACATCCAGCAAACGAGCTTAGGATACGTGCATTTGATTACTTTTTCCATCACATGCAACAAAGATCGACGATAAAAATTAATGCTGTTGCATCTTCAAAATAGCAGAACGATTTAGTGTAATTGGACGTGTGTCTTAGCTTATCATATACATCGATGAGCCATATGGTCATTCCTGTTTTGACAGTGTTTCGATTTTATGGAATTATAATAACGAGTCATACCTGTATCGAGTTTGCATTTCATTTCGTTAATATTTCTTAATATCTTCTTATTAACGTGTAGAATATCTTGTTCTGACGATAGGTAATCATCAGTCAGAATCGCCGTTAATCTCTTCAAATAGTAGTCATGATGACTATCGAATTTGTCTTTGTGATGCTTGTACCAAAACTGAACTTCAGCATCTGTCTACAATTGTTTCAATGCATGGACTGTTTGTGAAGGATGCTTAAAAGCATCAGACAAGTTTGTTTGCCGCAACAAATTGTCAAGAACTAAGAAATAGAGAAGATCAACATATCGTAACTGCTAACGATTTCTCCTTTTCTCCTTTTTATTCATTTATCGGATGCGGCAGAATACATTAGACTGTCTGTATTTTTAACATTTCTCCTCTTCCTTGAATTCGATCGAACTGATTCTACTATGGAAAGCTTCTCTGTTCAATTCTCTACCAAATGGTGTATAAACGATTACATAGAGTTTTGTGAAGTTATCTCAACTGAACTCAATGTGAAGCGGCTTGCCAATGAGCAAAATTGAATCGTTTTCTGTCCAGTTGTGGCAATTTGAAGTCTACGATAAAAGGAAGATACAAACCAGACCCTACGCTTTTTTTTCAAAACATTCATGTGTGCGCTATCTAACGTCACGAAATTCGTGTCCTCTTCTTGCATCAAATTGGTAAAAAAAACGAGATGAGGCTGAATTCTTGGAATCAGGAATCTACAAAACTATCGTCAAAAAAGTTAATTTGTCACCGCATATCTCACGATAAATAGGCAAGTGGACGAAACCTAATATACGAAACCGCCCATCAAATTGTGTTATGTCTTATTCGCTGTCAAATAAGCATCTATTCAGTTTAGAAGATTGAAAAAAAAACTCTTCAAATATGATTCAAATCATTCGTTGCACTATCGTAGAACAATGCTAAACTTAGTGTGTGATATATGGTTTACCAATTCTACCACAGTGGGTGAGAGAATCTATTTCAAATATTATTAGGCCTTGAATTCCTATTTTGCCAATCTCAAAGCGTTTTTCCTACTATTTAACAATCCAAGAACAACTTGAGACAAAAGCACGAGATGTTTTGTAAATAACTGTACAATTAAAAAAACTCCACTCCATTAAAGTATACAGTGAGAAAAATAAACCACCACCGGCCTGTCCCACTCGACCGTGACAGGCCTACAAAAACAATGTGAAAGATCTTTGTAAATTAAAAACTCCATAGAAATCCGAATCCTCTGTTTGCTCTTGGTGGGACCTCAATTTTTCAATAAAATCGTATTGTCGAATTTTGATCTAAATCTTCGCCCAGAAAACAATGAATTGATTTTAAGATATTCAAATCTTTAATCGTCAAGTTATTTATGAGATATACTGTATCGATATATTCTCATAAAAGTGACTTATTTGGTACTTTCTATTCGAAAAATGCATTTTCCCGATTGGAAATACGAGTTTCTCCCTGTGATAATCTTTGACAGCTTGTTCGGACACTTACGCGAAGAATAAGCCCAATACTTCAGTTTTAGGCATTTGCTTGTTTTCATTTCTCGAAACATAGCGGCCAACGCATGAAGCACTCCCAAATAGATCCCTCCCCGAAATGCTACGACTTCCTCTTTCGATAGATTGTAATTGTAGATGATGTTCATATGATGAAGTAGAGT